GGTCCTTTTAATAACCTRRATTTCATAGTATCTTACTCGCCCACTCTCAACGGAGCTCGAACTCAGGCCTGCATTTCAACAGTTCAGAGGCGTACCAATTGAGTAACCCCGTCGGTCCCACCTCCGATTTACAGCGCACGGTCACATTGCCGTGCGGTAAAATGGCCCAGTAGTTCCTGTTCTCTTGCGGAAAACTACGGGAGGAACTAGATACCAGTTTGAGTAGGTTTTCGCCTATATACCAGGGTCTGACGGAGGAGCTGCACGGCAATGCCGCTGCAGCCTYTGTTGGCTTTCCCTCTGGCTAYGCCCTACTCAGCCATAGTTCACCACCTTTCTGGTCCCATCGGGAATGCTCATACTACAGCCCCAAACCTGCAAAACATGCAGATTTTGGAACARACCAGTCTTGGGCATGGTTCAGGTCACATCGYTGTACTTCTTCATATGGGACCAGACCTGGCCGTCTGCAGTAGCGGCAACTTRGTACTTTGCTCAGTTTGCTGGTCACACGGCACTACCCACAAATTGTGCATGAATTCTTGTGAATGAATTTCTACCAATTCTCGAACATAATACCAAAAATAAATAAATAAATAAATAAACAAATAAATAAAATCGGGCATCTACGGTCGTCCTTAGATGTGACGACAAATCTCCGTACCCGCGGCTATACAACTGTGGCTGCTGTCAAGTGGTCATACACGAGATCGTACCCTTGGGACCTCAGAGAATCTGTGTAACCGGTCTGATACCTTACCGGCCTCAATGGGCACGCTCACACTCAAACCTCTCACTACAGAAATGGGACTGGGCAGGCCCACACCCAAGCCTCACACAGTAGGTCGAAGTTGGTGTCCGCTGTATCCCTTGGTCACGGCCTCCCAAGCCTTGTCCACCACCCCGCGGGTCCCCATGGGCATACTCACACTCAAGTATCTCATGGCAAATGGCGGTGCGACGGGCGGTGTGCCTGATTTGCACCCTCGTCAGGCACATTGCCCTTTCCTTTCTCTTGCTTAAGGGCCATGCCTTTRAAATACCGACATACCGCCGACGRCATCGGATAATCAGAATACTTTTATTTTTGGTCATCTGTAGTTCAACAGTTCGTGGGTGTACCCACTGAGTTAGGCTCTCGGGTTGCACGGTTGGCCCATGTACCGGCGTCGGACCAAKCCCAACAAAAATTTAAAATTAATAATACCTAAAAAAKAAAAAGTGTTAATYATTAAAAAATTAAAATGAAAATGGGAACGGAGCGAGGGGAAAAGGAGGACATGTCAAACCCTGCCCTTGGTCCTGCTYGTCGGTCCCGTAGGCGGACTTCCCAGCAAAAYCAAAGGGGATAGCCCCGCAAGACCCTCAACCCCTCGGCTCTCCTGCRCTCCTTYGCTGYTGGCGGCTGGTCTCGATCCCCKGATCTGCTGGCTGAAAGTCTAGTGCTGTAACCAATAGGGCTAAGCCAAAGCCTGGTTRTAGYAGGTGCAATCTCTCATATGAAGAGTAACTACAACCTACCTGGGCCTGCAAAGTGTGCGCCAAGGCCACCGTTTGGCTTATTGCCTGAGCCCGTGGCCCCACACGCCTGTGTTTGCCACCCAAGGGCCGTGTTTACTAGACTCATCCTGTATGTAGCCCCGMYGYGCTGCAGCCAAAGGGCGAGGCTTTCCTGCTCCACCATATCCGTCAAAAGGGTGTCCTTTTACTATCTCCGAGTCGGAAAGACCCTGGCTTTCACTCACACCATACCCAGCCCGTGCCATCCTAGCCAAAGTTTGTCACGGCTCCTACTGCCGACAACACATGGTCAGACCTAATACCTGCGTGGCCCGCACGGCCCGGCCCCCAAACGCCACCCGCCGTGAGTCGAACGGAGCCCTCCTTCAGCCGTACTCTCAATTTTAGAATTGTCTATGGATTGAAATTTCGTCAGCGCGTGCGAGGCAGGACCCTAACCTACTCCTAGCTCGTACTACCAAACGGGGTTATTGGTTTATACTGAGTAACTGTCTAGCTAGCCTAACGCGTGCCCTCAAGGTGCACGCCCACACACTCTCAGATCCAATCACAAAATGTGAGTGCCACTCCCACCTTCTGGGAGTTGGTTGTGGTCACCCAAAAATGGGACAGTCTCTCGGATATTGCTGAAAAAACGCATCTTCTGCGAGATGTGAAAATGTGCCCAAATACCCTTGTAAGGGTATTCGGGCTGACAGTTTTCCGGACCCTATTAAGCGACGCCCCCGTCGCGTCGAACAATCAAAAGTTGTAAACAATTGAAATTGCAACTGCTGACAAGGAAAATGACCAATCTGATTAGCCGGATCGACTGTGTTCGAGGTAGTCTATCAATCTACCCCCGTCACAGTGATTCACTGCCATGGTTTTAACCTGGGTCTTCCACGTCCTGGTCTCGGAGTTAGGGGATACTTTGTTCCGTACTACATTGTAATACCCGCTCCCAGGTAGTGGGTTGATAGTCCTTTCCCTTTGTCGTAGACATCTGTCGGTTCACCGTTGGGTGTCCTCTTTAGTCATCGTCGCGTACGGGGTCATGACTTAGGACGCGGCCCTAACCGAGACCTCTCTCAATTACGGGGCACCTTTAGTCCCCAAATGGTAATGCTTACCATCTCAAATATCTAGTCATAATGAACGTCCAACCTGAAGTCTAACACAGGCAGCTTCTAGGTCTCCATCCTGGACCACCATAGTCTGGTTGATCGAGCCAGATTTACGGCCTACCGCGTTGTTATATTAGCGGCAGTGCCCTCGTTGGTTGCGCAACGATAAGCAGTTTTATCTATCTTGGCACCCCGAAGGATTCCTGACTTTTAACCTAATCGACCCCAATGACTTTCCCTTTAGCTAAACCTCTCTGGGTGGCCGACCCTTCAAGGCTTAATCATTGGTAAGCCATGGTCCCGCTGCCAGGTTGCGCCGGTCAGCAGCCCTCGCTGGGAGTTAGGTCCTACAGTTCCGGCGATGCTAAGTAGAGCCCCTTAGCCTGACCTCATAAAATATGTCCCTTAGACTGACTTCATTGTGGTCTGACATTCTCTCTCAAAAACTTTCATCATAACCAAAGGATCACGTACCAGCTGCCCACGGGACTACGTGGAGGGATAGCGCCTTTCTTAACATTCGAACAAAAATATTCAATAAACCCACAAGGTCGCGCCTCCCTTACTTTGATCAGGGCAGGTGAGGTCACACGTCATAGGAACATCTCTCAAATGTTTTCCAGAGTTCCATCACAATTGCCAGAAGTTTTCCATCCATAATTCTCACCAAAATTTTTGGCCTTTCCTTGTCAGACTCGCAAAAAAATTCTCATCGTTATAGCATCTCATTGAAGTGCTCTTCCACAATTTCACTTTCATATAAGAAAAACCCGACCGGCCACTGAGTTTCCTTCTTTTGTCTTTTTGAATCATACAAAAGACACAACTTTAGTTGTGACCTTCCCATTTTATCATCATTCATGCCTTTACAGATTACGACACAAGTTTTTCTCTCAGACAGATGTGAGATGCACTTTCTTTCACTGTACTTATGACTTCGTCTGCCATAATGATTGTGACATGTACGCCTAAGTACAGAGGAAGATGGTGCAGGTCAGGTCATTTTACAATATTTACTTCATCACAACAATCATTCATATGGGCACGTCCACAAACTGAGAGTGAGTGTGACACACCACACAAAAAGAAAAAAGTCTGAGACTTGCATATGCACACAAAATCTGGGGCCTTGCAACAATCAAAGGTTCCCGTCCATATCGAAACGGTCAAGGTATCGTACAAAGAATCCAAGTATCACACAAAGAGTCTGGTATCGTACCAAGTGTCTCAGTACTCAACAAAGAAATCAGAGTATCCGAACGAAGTGTCAAAGTAAAAGTCAAGGTAAAAAGAAACTAGGATTTCATACCGCTCTGAACGAGAAAGAATCGTAAACTCACACAAAAAACACTATCTAAGAACACTCCACACCACACTGAAAAATGTGAAAGTAAAAATGAGGAATCAGTGTCACACTCAAATACCATCCTATGTACAACTAAGCCTGAAAGTCAATATGTGAAAGTAAACATCTCAGTAATGACTCAACTAACTGATGTACATGGGTGTGATCCAATCCTCCATGTGTCCTCCTATATACAATTATCTATCAGTAGTGAGTCAGAGATGCTTTATACTTGTCAGAATCTAGACGTTTTCGGACCCTATAAAAAAACCCTATCCCTGATCACTCATGTCCTCCTGCAGCTGCCTGTACAACTGTGTCCGTATCCCATCACGAGTCTTTAGGATCAGGTTCCCATACTTATCCCTACGTACCCCAGAAGGATCCCAAGAAAAGAAGCCATTCGCCTCATCCTTGACGCTTTTGGGACAGGTCTTCTGTGAGTGCTTGCCCTTCTTGCAGTAGAAACATCTTCCAAACTTATTCTGCTCCATCTTGTCAGCTCCTTAGGAGGGCACAGATGAGGGGACTGTTGTAGCCTCGCTCGTGACCTCCTGCTGTGGATGTTCTGGAGGAATGGGGCATGCTGCTCTCTTATTTGTCTGCGCCATCTGCTCACTCACTCGCTCCTCTGCCCAGGATCCAGAGGCCCAAGATCCCAGCGCCTCCTCCAGACCTGCAACCAGAGGCATATCCTGAGGTGGTGGGGTTTTCTGAGAAACCTCCAGATCCTCCCCTACCTCAGCCTCAACCCTGGCCTGTCCCACACTCTCCTCAGCCTCCTGCTGCCCCACAGTTTCTCTCTGAATCGTAGGTGGTGCAGCCTCATCCATGTTGACCTCTTTTGGTGGTCTCACCCCTGGCCTCACTAGTCCCTGCTCGTGTGCCAAGACGGTGGGCATCCTCCACTCAAACTCTCCTACCTCTAAGTCCCTTCTTGCTAGTGTCTCTTGTGGCTCCAACATCTTCGTATCCAGCAGAGGGATTTCCTCACCCATTTGCTCATTTGCCCTCTCTTCCAGCTTCTGACTCTTGAAGGCCTCCTCTGCAGGCTGCTTCCTGATTTCAAACCCCTGGACCTCGGTCTAGTCCACCACTGCAGTAGGCGCCTGTTGTGCACATTTGGCCTCAAGATCCTCTATCCTCTTCCCCCACTTGGCTTCTTTTGCCTGAAAGATATTCTGTTGTACCTGCAAGTAGGTCCTCAGGGTGTCGTTGACTTTGTTGAGGGTATGGTTGACCTGTCTGATGGCCTCGTTGCCTTCCCAGGCCTTCTCCACCTCAATCTGCATGGCCTCCATCTCCTTGTCCTGCCTCTCCAACTCCTTCTTGAGATCACCAATTTCTTTCTGCCAGTCCATTCTCTGCTCATGAGACGCCCGCGCCACCCTTGTCAACCTCTTCTTCATCTTTTCATCAGAAGTCTTGGCCACCGCAAAGCCCTTTTTCATAAGGCCCTTCAGGCTAAGCAAGTCTGTAGAGACCAGCTTAACCCCCATCTCCTGATGCTGCTCCCTGGGCCTCCCTGCTCCCTCCAAGAACTTATCAAAGTTGTCCAAAACCTCCGTGAAAAGAGGAGTCTCATCGTCTTGAGTGGGTGAGTCATTCCCCTTTCTGTCTTCTAGTATCACAGGCTGCTCTCCCTGCTCAACCTTCTCGTGCAGCTCCGCAATGTTTTTGAGTCTGATTTGAACTCTGATCTCTCTCTCTATTGTTGCTCTCTCCTTTCTGTCTTGTTCCTTCTCCCTTGCAGCCTGTTCCTCACTCTGCTTCTGTCCATGTGGCTCTTGAGGTAGTTCTGGCCCTTTGTCTGCCATAGGGCAGTCCTGAGCAGGCTGAGGGGGCGCATCTGATCCACCTGATGGTCCTCCCCTCTGGGTCCTTTTTGCATCCTGCCTCTCCGTCTGCTGTGTACAGTCAGCATGTTGTTCCTCTCTCCTTTGAACCCTCTCAGCATGCTGCTCCTCTCCTCTCTCTTGCCTGTGGGACCTGTGCTCTCTCCTTTGTCCATCCCTCTAAGTGCCTGAGGTCATGCCCGACTCAAAAGTCCTTCTCTCTGTGACCTCAAGCTCCTTCCTCTTCTTCTCCATACTCCTCTCCTCTGCCTGGCATGTGGGAGTATAGTAGCTCCTCAGTAACCGCTTGCAATCTCCCCAATGCAGCGCTCTTTCCACAATGCTCTTGACGAACATCCTGATAGGCCTCCTCACGAACTGGAGGAACCCTCTTACTCTGGTCTCAGTTGCAATGTTCTGCTCGTCTGCAAACCGGTCATAAGCCCACAAGAACTCATCCAGGTTCGTTCCATCGAACCGGATTGGCACTCCATCTCTCCCTACAGGCGATGAATGTATCCCTTCCATCTTCCTTTCGAACTCCTGTCAGGTCGCTGACTCCCGTACATATCTGGCAATGGCCTCAGCCCACTCGCCCTCTCCTCGTACCTCTCTCAGCATCCTGGCTCCATCCCATCTGAACTTGTTGGCATGCTTCTCAAACTCGACCAAAAACAACTCCACGTTCCCTCCTCTAAAGATGGGTGGCCTGTCCTCTCTCCTGGTCCATCCCTGCATTCTCTGTCTGGCTGCCCCCTCTCCCTTCCCTCTTGACATGGCTTCGCCAAATGGTGTCAAGCGTGCACAACAAGGAAGAGACAAGCCAAAGCACACAGAGTGTAAGCAGGTTCGGCACACAGTGATAGACAGACACATCCCCCCCCATCTAACCTAGACGCCTATATAGGCATACACATACATACCTACACATACATACGTACTATCATAACCCATCATATCATTTTAATGAACGTCCATACAATCTTTCTGTACTCATACCCCCATCAAAAAGACATACTTAACAAGAGAAAGGGACTCTAGCTTGTGAGGTCCAGACTCACCTCGTCTCGAGCGACAAACTTCTTCAACCTCGAGCCTGACACCCACTCCTTCTAAGCGGTCCAATTCAGCTCCTCAATTTGGTATGCGTCATGTTCTCCATACCTGGTGACCCTGTATGGTCCCAACCATCTCTTATCCAATTTCCTCGGCCACTGCTTCTCCAGGGACGAGTCGTACAGCAGCACGGCGTCTCCCACCTTAAGAGGTTCCTTCCTTACTCGTGCTAACTGGTCCCACCTGAACTTGTCCTTGGTTCAACTGTCAGCCACCCTACTTGCTGCTTCCTGTACCTTATATTCTATGGCTCCAATTTGACGTGCCCTTAGATCAAGCAAGTCCTCAAAAGACAAGGTTGTCTCGAGGTCTTGTCGCCTCCAAGTCTTTAGGAAACTTTCTATAGGGAACGTCGCACGTCTGCCATACCATAATGTAGCTGGCGCGTAGTTGGTACTCCTTCTGACAGTGATATTCTCCACGAAGAAAGCAACCCTCGGAAAAGCTGGCCACTGATTAGGTCTGCCATCTGTCCATTTTGCGAGAAGATTTGTAATGGTACTGTGCCCTCTTTCTACTGATGCGTTAGCCTGAGGGTGCGTCGCAGTCGTATACTCGGCGATCACACCATACCCTTTCAATAACGCTTTCACTTTGGCACTGGTGAATTCGGACCCTCTGTCCATTACGAATCTTGAGACGAACGGATAGCGAAGGTAATATTCTTCGATGCATCTAGCTAGTACCTCTCCAGTCTTCGTGCGAATAGCCTTACCATCAACGAACCCTGAGAGATTGTCTCGTGCATCGAAGATATAGTTGAATCCTCCTATTCCCAGAGGCATCGCTAGTAGATCCAGATGAACGACCGCTCCGACCTCACGTATATATCTAGGGTGAAGCGGTTCCCTAGGTCTTAACGAAGACCGCTCCTGACATGGTATGCAAGATTTACAATATTTGTCGATCACGTGTCCCATGCCATCCCAATAATATAGTTCGTGAATCTTTAAGTATGTTGCATCTGTGCTCCTATGGCCACCAGTCGTTCCATCATGAAGGGCGACCATAACGTTAATCTGTCGATTTATTCCGCAGACTACCCTTCTGGGATTCTTTCCTTTACTTCTCATGAATAGATGGTCGTCTCTCACGAGGAAATTTGGTCGCATCTTAAGGACTCTTTCACTAGCATCTTTTTTTCTTGTTTCACATGACAAGAGCATTCCCAATTCCAGATATGCTCTGTCGTACTCCTCTGCACGAAAGGCCTCTTTTATCTCACCTTCTTCAAAATCATCGTCCTCTCCTTTATGGATCACGCTCTCCTCTCTATCTTGCCTCTCTCCTTCAATCCTAGCAACCTCTTCTTGAAGCAACGAGTTTGCCAACAGGTACATTCCACCTGCCAATCGTTCATGCTTTTCCCGCAACTGGTACTTATCTGTCCATGCCAACTCCATCATCCACTCTACTCCTGGCATTCCCCAAGAATCTTCTTCAACATAAGGTTTGATGACTATATCAGGGCCGCCGCACATGACCCAGAGGTGCGAGCCATAAAGGTCGTCCAGGAGTAACATAGTTACCTATAGCCAATGACCAAGAGTTAATTTGGAGTTTAACATCCTCTTCCTTGTCCAGGAAACCGTCGACTAGCGGAGTATCCTCAATCACCGCTTTGTCGCTCTTGTTCCAGTCGACGCGACTTAACCCATCTGCCCTATTCTTGTTCCCAGGAATACGCTCCAATTCGAAGTCAAACATCCAGATGTACGTCAACCACCTGGCAATGGTTGGATCTGAGAGAAGCGAAGTTCTTAAGGGAACTAGGTAGAGCAGTTGGGTCCACCCTCAACGTAAACCTGCTACCAAAGAGGTACTTTCTGAAGATCCTCAAGCAGTGAAGAACTGTCAAGGTCTCGCGCTTAGACTGAGAGTAATTCCTCTCAGTTGTGTTAAGCGTTCGACTCTCAAACCTTAGCGGCCGCTCTTCTCCATTGAGGTCTCGTTGGATCAGCACCCCTCCCAGTGCAGTCAGTCCTGCGTCAGTTTCCACAATAAAGGGTCTGGTCATTACAGTCGCATGGTCTGGTACCCCCAGTACTAGACCCCCTTCCTCAAATTCTTTCTTCAGACCCTCTATTACTGACTCCTGCTTGTCTCCCCATTCCCAATCTTCACCTTGGCGCACAAGCTTTCGCAGCTGCTCTGTCTTTGCCGCAAACCCTTTGATGAACACTCTCCAAAACCCACATGTTCCCAGAAAGCTTCTTACCTCTGTAATTGTCTCGAATGGTGTTTGACCATTTGAGAATCTTGTTCGTTTTCTTAGTGTCTGGTCGACGACCCCTCTCGTCGCACACAAACCCTAAGATCGTTGCTCTACGCATACAATGCTTGGACTTTGTTCCGCTTGCAGTGAGGTTATGCTCCTTTAGCAAGTCTAGGACTTTACAAAGATCTTCCACATGATCCCAGACAAATCGCCTAATCCCAGGCATCACCTCCTGCTCATCCTTCTCTTTTGGCCCTTTCACAGCCAAATCGTCGATGTAAGGTTGTGTAATGTGAGGACTTACTGGTTGCATTGCCCTCACCATGTGTCTCTGGACCATGGCAACCGCATTCGTCCATCCTTGTGGTGCGACATTCATGTGAATCAGCCCTCGAGGGGTATGCATTGCAGTCATTGGTCTGTCCGAAGGGTAAACAGGAAACTGGTCATAACCAAAATACAAGTCTATGAGAGATATTATGGATCTTCCTACTCATGCCTCTGAAAGCGCATCAGCGTTAAGGAGACCCCCTGAATCTCTCACTATTATAGCATTGAAGCGCTGCAAATCTTGTACCCATCTTAGTGTCCCATTTGGTTTGACAAAGCAAAACCAAGGGGATGCATATGGCCCACTCGAGTAGTCTGAGACATGAGTGCAGATCTTCCCGTCAAGATAATTTACCACATTTTCTTCGTCAGCCGGATTCGGGTATCGCGCACCTCGCAGATTCCATGGTTCATTTGGCACGGTATGTATCTGAATCATCAGGATCTTGTCAACATCCAGGCGGCCACGTTCGTCATCATTGAAGGCATAGGCAGTATGTCTTCCTCTCATGGTCTCTACCATCAACTGTCTCTCCTGCGCTGTAAGGAAATCTGGTTCCCCTATGATCAGCGCCTCTTCCGTTTCTTGATTGATACGGCATGGTCCATTCTCTGCATTTTCCCGCATCTGCCGTATTAACTCTCGTTCTCGCTCGTAATAAACTTCTTGTTCCTCAGTTACGAACACAGGAACAGGGCGGCATTTTTTATCTACTCTTTTGTACCGCCTTTGTGACCCTTGCTTGAGTCCACCCCTAAACAAGGCCGAGTTGTACTCAGGGGTTGGTCTCCTGCCGATCCTCCTATCTTTCTAGGCGTTCGATATACCAACTCCACCTCTCCTTCACCCATCTGTTCCATCACCTTTTCTCTCAAGGCCTCTACGACCTCCGGGTCCGCCATCCCATGGGTTGACACTATGTCCATAGCATCGCCTATATTAGTCAGCCTTAGAGTCAGTGTTTCCGGGTTCCTTTCTTTTTCAAACTCATCTCCCCCTAACCTCTTCCTTTCTTCTTCCGATTCCTCAATCGTGAAAGAACCAGGATTGGGCCTATTCCTTATACTTCGTGGCCCCGTATTTCTACATGTGATAACCTCATAGTTGCCACATACCGGGTCACATAAGACAAGGAACATCGTCCCATCATGCTTATTCAGTATGACGGTCTCCGTTCGGCTTAGGAAAGATCGGCCTAATAGGATGGGATGATCGAGATCAGGCATTACAAAGAAATATCTTCTCACTTTAACCTTGCCAATCTCCAGAACCACTCTCGATGCGGTCCCTATGAACACAGATCGACTATTCGCTCTCATTAGAACTTCATTATCGGAGCGATCAATCTTCATCCCCAAGCGCAAGGCATGTTCCTCTTTTATGAGGTTCATTTCCGCCTTAGTATCCACCATTGCCGTGCACGTTTTTCCTTTTACTACTACGTCCAAGCATCCACATGCGACGGACTTCCAATCCATCTTCGTGTCTCTCTTCCCATTCCGCTTCTTTGGGGATTATGGCCCCCAATCGCACGCTGGCTACCATCTTCCTGGATAATCGAGCTTTGAGCTCGTCCCGGAGCCTTGGAGCTGAAGCCAACACATCCTTCAGGTTCATAAGATGATTATGACCCTTAAGGATTCTATCCATTATTTCCTTCACGTCTAGCCTTCTTCTACCCGGACAACATACTTCCTTTTCTTTCCTTCTGGAGCTCTGTCTGTGTCTGCCTTAACATCCCTCTTCTTTGCTCTTAGCTCGGCCCTCTTATCCTCTTCCCTCCTTAATCTCTCATCTCTTTCATCCTCGTCCTCTGGGATGTCTATTGTCTCTTTTTCCCTACTAGGCTCARGAACGTCCTTTGCCGGCTCATTGGGGTTTACCGGCCCCTTGACCCTTGTCCTGACGGCCTGTGGCGCTCCTCTTGACCTTGATGGTGGCCTGTAAGCCATTCCGGACCGAGGCGTCGGTCCCGAAATCGTTATGCCTGGTAGGCTCCCAGATCCTCCTTGCGGTCCTGAACCAATATCGTAGAGATATACCAGTGGCTTTTTACCTTTCCACTCCTTGACCTCTTCACACATGTTAGTCAATTTGTCTTGATACCTTCTTATCTTTGCTACTAGATCCTCCATTCTTTCCATCGTTCTCCGGGCCTCATTCCAGTAACTCTATTCTATCTCCTCGTCAGATTCTACCACAATAGGTTTTTCCTTAACCGTACCTGCTTTCCTTTCCTGCTCTACTTCCTCATTCTCTCCTATCTCTTCAACCCTTACATCAGGACAGACATCCTCCTCTTGCCAGATTCGAAACATGGTCGGAGGAGCGGACGGCTCGCCGGCCTCGACTCGTCTCAAGGGCTCCTTTCTCGACCCACCAGGGATCTCTGGGTCAATGTAGTATCCAAACTTATCATACATGTCACCGTCGTAGTTGTTACTTATCAACCCTTCATCTTCATCGTTCCTTCGGACATGGCAGAACTTGATGGTGTGACCCTTCTGCCCACAATGCCAGCAAATAGCATTCCTCCAGTCTATCCGTCCTCTACGAAAACCTCGCCCGCCGTCCTGACTACTCTGATTCCCTGACACATTCCAATCCCCATTTCCTCCTCCACCGGAATTGCCACCCCCATTTCCTCTTCCACTGGAATTGCCACCCCCATTTCCTCTTCCATTTCCCCGACCGCCATTTCCTCGCCCTCGGCCCCATCCTTGGTTCTGTCGACGTCCGCCGCCTTGATTTCCCTGCGACCCCTGTGGTGCCGGCTGTTGAGGTTGGCTTGGTTGGGGGCTCGGGTGGCTTACTTGTTGAGTGTGGGGTCCTGGACACCCGCAGGAAGCCGCGCTCAGCGGCGCTCCTGCGCATGATCCATGTGGTCCACTCATCGGCCATGGTACGTATGAACAGTGCCCAGGCCAAGGACTGTGAGGTCCATAACCCGGCCACGGCCCATAGGGTGCTGACGCGGCCAGACCATGCGACTCTTGGGGAGGCAGTGCTGTTGCTTGCAGGGTCTGTCCTCTTCCTGAACCTTGTCCACCTTGGGCCAGATTTTTGGCCTTCCTATGTGCCTTTGTTAGCTTTTGAGGCTCAGGCTCCTCCTCTTCCTCTTCTTCCTCCTCTTGCACCACCGCCTTCTTTGCCTTTCCCTGAGTCTGCGGTGCCGCCATAGCCTTTCTTGCTGCCTTTGCCTCTTTTTCCGCATCGAGTTGGGCAACAACATCTTCTACCATTCTCTTAAAGTCTCTCCCGTCACTTGTCGTGGCATCCAAAGCCTTCCTCTTCTTCCTAGCCAGCCGCATTTGGAAGATGTCCGTCTAGGTTCAATTCTCCCTCTTTCACGCCCTCTTTTATGGTGGCCCAAGTCAGTTTCTTTCCTGGCGCAGCCTTCTTGGTTAGCGACGAGGCTTACCAATTCTTGAAGTGCCCCAGGAAAGTGACACACTGTTCTTCTTCTGCCAACTCTGGGACTTTCTTTTCCATTTTCTCAAATGTCGTGGCAAAGGCCCCCACTGTGGAGAACTCGTCCCGTCTCAACATTTCCAGGTCTTCTTTGGTGAGCAGGTCTTCACCTAACTTGAAACGTCTCTGCATCTCCTCTTTAAACTTCGCCCACTCATCATTCGCGTCGGCCGTTACTTTCATTACCTCAGGTCTAAGCTCCCACCATACGTACCTAGGCATCAACTTGAATTTGTCTGCTTCTGACGCCTCGCTAGTGACCTGCTCCAACAACTCAAGCCACTCAGACACTTTATCCCCATTGAAGTGAAAAATGTTAACCTTGGGCACCTGAAGCCGTGCCATCTCTCTTTTTTCCAATGCCTTGACGAAGTCCTCAGATGTAGCACCCATGCCCCGCTCGATTGCATCAGCGTCCCCCATCTTTACGCTTTCTCAAAAACCTGTTAAGGGATGAACGGTTTTAACAAAAACAATCGGTCGTCAAATCTCCAACTCGCTTACTTTCATCATTCTACTACTATCTTTATTTAACTAAAGTAGCCTATCAGGTCTCTATATTATAACTTCGGATTCTACTGCTAAAAACGGACACATATACAATGCATACTTCCAACCTTACTCACAATCAAAATAGATCAGACATGCCATCAAAAATGCCACAATACTCGTATCATCGTCAATTCAATGGAGAAAAATCTTTCCATCAAAGGTTGTCGTTTTGCCTGGATCATCAGCCTGCACGTGACCTGGGTTCGTTCTCTTAAGGACCCCGGTAGGCAGCCGAGATCCCCGGCAGCGGCGCCACCTGTCGAGCGCATCGGTCTCGGATGGGGACCCTCCCGGCCGCGTCACGTAGGATTTTGCAGGACTTTGTTGCAGAGCATTTTTAACCGCTCCGGCTGAGTGCGCCAGCCATACCTCTCGCGAGCCCCTACGACAGGACAGGGTCTCGCGAGGCACCGCTTACCTCCACCTGCGGGAGCTGTCACCATCCCTTAGGTGGGCATATCCCCGCCGAGTTGTTGAACCACATGCGAAAGTTTTTCGTATGCAATTGCACAGGTGTCCCAGCCGAGGGTTATTCTCGTTCGCTGTACCATAGGGGGTTACGCGCGGTCGAACGCCCGAAAAAATCGAACCCGCACGCGAATCGACATATTGGGGGCTGGGGTCCCAAACGCGACTCGGCGCCGGTCGACTAGGACGCATCACACACACCACGCGTTACACCACAACACTCACATCTACCCACACATAACACATGGAAAAACACAAAACAAACACAACATCACAACACTCCTAGTCCCTTCAGTATCCGACCCATAACTTCATGCCACGAAAATCAAGTAGGTACCGCACGCTGGACTTTTGTATAAGAGTCGTGCGCGCGCATCGCCTCCTCATATCGACCAGCCATGCGGGCATTCGCAAGCATTTGCGTTGTTGGGGTACTATGTAGTACTCGTAACCTCGCGACCATTGATAATCTCCAGGGTCGCATTCGACACTCAAGTGTCGGCTGACAGGCGCTTTGAGGGGTAATCTCTTGACGCCAGACAACCGCCATGCGCGGTTGAAGACCACACCCTCTTCTACACCCTGTGCAGAGGGGTTGAGTAGACAGCTTCGAGGCTGTCGTTGTAGTCGAAATCAAGGGGTTTGACTTTGACGGCTACCAGCTAGAAGACCACACCCCCTGTGCTGAAACGGACTACAACGTCCAACCAGGATAACTTAAAGCAGAAAGCAACTGCAAATAATCAATAGTCGTCCCAACTGGAAGGGGTAGGCCAATGCGAAGGGTCCGCATGGGTAAGGCCCAAAATCAGGCTCATAGGTCGCCCGACGTTCGAGATGTTGGAGACTCGTACGCGGGGCCCAATAGGCCGATTAGAGATGATTCCCTGCCTACGCGTCGCTTCGCACGGCCGAAGCTTGGGCCTACTGGCCATAACGTGTTTTTGCTTTCTCCGTTTGACCCAAAACTTTAGAGCGCGAAAATCGATAAGTGTTGCGCGTATGGTTTAGTATAAAGTCGCGCGGATGCAGGACCCACGCATATCGACCAACATTGTGGATTTGCGCACGCAGTCGTGATATCGGCGCACTATGTGATGCCCATACACGAGTGGCCTCTTTTTGAGCCATGGGGTTGCTCTCGATACTCAGGCGTTGGCTGAAGCGCACGCTAAGGGGGGTAAGCCTTTAGCAAGCGCAAGACCGGTATGAGGGTCTTACCATCTTCTGCACCCTGAGGTGCCCCAAAGGGTGCGGGGTAAGATGGTCCCTAGGGCAGGAAGGAATTCGGAGCGGTGGTGAGTTGTCTGGCGCATCACCAGCGACACGCTAATCCTTCCGCTCGGAACTTTATCGTTCCACCAAAATAACCTCAACAAGGATGAAAAACAATTTCTCTTAACACTATCGGAAGAAAATACCTTCAATGTTAGTCTGGGGCCTGGGACGTCCCGGACAAGGATCTTGGTTTCCAGGCTTGGGACAACTTCCCTACCACACGAAGTCAAAGAGAATAGAAGGACGCAAGCGTGCAGTCACATAGCCCCATAATGGTTACTCGAGTGTACGCTTACTATGATTATCACATCATTGGGCTGGGAAAAGAACAATCTCACCCAAAACAACAGGTTGTGGGGTAGTACACTCTCACGACAAATGTGTGGTTTGCCCATCTGAATTCAAAACATAATCATTCACCATATATTTAATTGAGTTCCTCCCATACATACCTGCAAGTCATCCGACATTCAGACAACATCACACGCACTAAAAGGGGTCAACTTTTCAGCCTCCTGCAGCTCACACCCTRCCTTATGCACTCAAGCSCAACCATTTCCCCACCCAGCCTCAACAAAAGTACTSAGTCYTTACGAAATGACCATTTATAAAGAAACYGGGTGAAAACTTAAARAAGCACATAAATCYTGGCAGGGGCCAAGGCCTTAKGTTRAGAGGCARGAGAGATTGGAAAGTTGAGTCGTAAATCGACGAATCGGCAACCGACCTGTTATCAGTGATAACAGACAAGTGATCCTTTCGTAGAATCAGGCCGAACAATTTGAGCCTTTAATCGGATGTAAAAACCTGCATCACAATATAGGTCAAAGAGAACCACTACTATTTTCAACCCGATTAGAGGATAGTTCCCCAATTCGTACCCTAGCTCCTCTACCAGTCTCACATTCAGCTTCCCTCACTAACACCAAGTCACTGAGAAAAATTTGGCATCATCTCCTCTACCCAGGGTGGATTTGTCAAGTTTCTCTTAGCTAAAATATAATCTAACTTCCTAAAAACTGTGAAATTTCGGCAGCGCTTCCCGTAGGAAAAGTAACTTTCCAGAATTTCTACGAGTTCAAAAATTACCAACTCTTTTAGATTTGTAGAAATTTCGGCAGCGCTTCCCGTAGGAAGAGGAGGTTGCCAAGATTTACACAAAGCTGAAACTAAAAAAACAAGGCATAACTATACTTGGGACTAGCTTCTGACACTTACTTGGAAGGTAGAATCAACGATAATCTGTACGACCTCTTGATGAGGCTGTGCGATAACACTGATCCTAACTCCTAGTAGAGTCATTCCTATCTTATCCCAAGCTTTCCCTCTCATCATCCATCCTACCTGCCTATAGGTCTAGCATTCGTCGAACACCTAAAGCAACTAACTATCAAAGAGATGCCCCAGAGTGAGAGCCCACAAACATGCATAACCAAACATCTCTCACAATCCCACATTAATTTAGTCAAAGTAGCTCGTTAAATCGCTATGTTCATTCCCTTTTGCATCCCCCTTTCCTTTGGCATACGGTCAGACAAGGCCCTAACCCTAGGGTATGCCTGACCTGCCTAGGTACACAATTAAAGTACGCACATTTGGACTGCCCTAACCCTAGGGTATGTCCAATGTAACATGACCTGTACACATAAGGCATATGACCAGACCGCCCTAACCCTAGGGTACGTCTGGCTTCTGCCTAACTGACGACAAATAGCATAGAACTGGGTTACCCTAACCCTAGGGTATGCCCAATCTGCTTTAAACAAAGTTACAAATTCTAGACCATCCCTACCCAGGGGTAGGTCTAGCTTGCCTTAACATAAATACAAACGACAAAAAGTTGGACCGCCCTAACTCTAGGGTACGTCCAACCCACAACACATCTACGACAAAAGCATATCACTAGGCCGCCCTAACCCTAGGGTACGCCTAGTTTGCCATACAGTTTAAGTTACATAAGGCAATGTGATCACGCTGCCCTAACCCTACGGTGTGCCTGATCTGCCTGAACAGTTATAAACACTGAAACGCTGGACCGCCCTAACCCTAGGGTACGTCCAACTTACACTAAACGACAAAGGCTTATCGTTAGGCCGCCCTAACCCTAGGGTACGCCTAGTTAGCCATACAATATAAAATAGGGTACAAATACTTGCACAGACTACATGTCTTTCCTTCTCTTATTAAGCAGTCGATCGGACCTTTCCAATAATGAAACTTTCGATCTTGCCTCATGTCTAGAAGGAAAAATAAAACAGATTTATACTAACTCTCTGCTCCTTAGTGTTATCATGAGTATAAAACTGAACCGCCTTAACCCTAGGGTACGTTCAGTCTGACCAGTTACCTTTGTTTTACTCTTCATCTCTTTCCCTCTTCCTTAGTTCTACTTGACTTACTGACAGGCTTTTCCCACCCGGGGTGCCCGTCTGTCAGAAGTATAAGTTCAATAAAATATATATATCAAAATTAATACTTTTGGTTGGCCAGTTAATTCGTGGCTCATGACTAAGCCACTCTAACCCTAGTGTACGCTTAGTCTTATGCCGTTATTCCCTCAGAAAAAAACGTGCACCATAACTCATTAAAATAAACATCAGGATTCTGAGCCTTCCCCACCCGGG